GCTCAACAGCACCACCCAGCAACACCAGATCCTCACTGCTAACGCCACTGAACAGGTAGATTCACAACCACATGCTGCAAAACACTGACATCACTGTATCTTTGTCCCTCACTCTGTTTACGATCTTGTAAACAATCAAAATTTGTCTCAGCTGGGGAACTATAAAGCAGAGATGCAAGAGCTGGAGAAGTTCGACACCATGCAGGTGATAAAGGGACAACAAGTCAACTCTGCTCTGAAGGCAGATCTATTCAAGTGCAACAAAAAAATTAACACTACCGTCACACCCACCGAGCCCCCACAGGGTGAGTTTGTTCTTTTTTTTTATGTGTTTGTTTGTTTATTTCTCATCTGGTGGCAGTGGGAGTCTGTTCTTAGGGGATTGGAGCAGTTAATAATCCTTTTTATTTTTATCCCATCAGGTACCTGTCAACGCAGCCGGCTTCTGAATGTCACTGGACCAAGGGTCTACACAGCAGGAGAATATCCTGGCTCGCACGCTTACGGAGCCTGGGGTCGTGATCCCAGACCAGAGGAAGGCAAAGAGAGCTGGTACTGGCTGGTGATGATGACTTCGAGTAACAGATACTCCAACTATGTTCGTTTTTACAGCAGTCTGAGTTCTCTCATCATTGGAGTGAGCGTCCCAGGTAAGGAACTCCTCTCTTCTTGTTGTTTTTTTCCCTCCCACATAATGCAAAAAAACCCTTACTGTTTTTACTGGGATCACTCTGAAGTTGGTAATAAAGTAGCTTATTACATTGTTTGAATTTTCAAAGATGAAATAATTAACCCTAGAGGTTTGCTGTACTTTGGGTTACTGAAGGTGTTTGGAAAGGACCGTGTACAGTGAGTTTGTTAGGTAACTACCTAACTGTACCTAAAATCGAGTTATGCAACCCTTTATAATAGTGGCTTTAACATTTGGTAGCAAGTTATACTGATACCAAGTATCAGTATTACGTGTTTTCAACAAGCAGCCCTTGTTCCAGTGCTGGTACAGGTGCATAGACAGTTCTGCATTGGTTCCCAGCCCATGTTATCCTGGAGTGTTTTTACTAAATAATACTCACCTGCCATAGTTCTTAAGAACAATGTTTTGCAGTTTGTCTTAATTACTGATACATTTTTGTGAAGCAAATTATAGTTTTAAACTATTAACATATGTTTATTCCTTCTTTTTCATCTTCAGGTAACGTCCAGATCCACTCCTCAAACCCAACTACCAACAC